AAAAAAAAAAAAAAAAAGATCAAGAAGCTACCAGGGAGAGTTGCTTGGGGCCAGAGCAGCCCCCCGTGTATCCTACATTGCCCTGCAATTGCCCACCCCATGTTTTTAGGGATGTCAGGGCGCTTAGCTGGAACTGTGAGTGGTGGCGATAAAGCAGACCTTTGAAGGTGGAGCCTGAGAGAAGGCCGGGAGGAGGCAGTGTCTGTCCTTGGCTTGGTTTTGTTTGCTTTGTTCTCTGTGGCGTGGTATTTTAGGCAGGGTCTCTCGCTCTGTCACAATCCTTCTGCCTCGACCTCCCAGGTAGGGATACAGGCACATGACGCTGCCTCTGTTTTCAGAGTGGCCTGGGAACCAGACCAGGGCCTGCCAAGTGGCCTCAGCTTGCTAACCAGCAGAGTCTGCCGGCCCATGCCAGCACGACTGGACCTTGGGCTCCTAAGGGAGGTTGCCAGGGGTGAGGTTGATTTCCCAGAGACCCTGGCTGTGAGCTGGGAGGGGCTTTGGTCTCCCCGCTCTCTGAGATCTACCACCTTCTCTGTCTACGGTGAGAGAGCTCCAGAGGCAGAAAGAGGCTGCAGCCAGAATCCGTCCTCCTCCCCACACCTGCTGGGCTGCTCTGGCCCCCGGAACCGGAAGCCCTCTCCTGGCTTTGTTGGACTTCCTGGGGAAGAGGAGCTGGTCCAGAGGTGACTCAGCAGCGTCCTGCAGACTGCAGGCTCTGGCTGCACGCGTGTCTGTGTGTACACATGCACGAGTTCCGTTCCCTATCCTGGCCTCATGGGGGGGGGCACGGGGCAGATCTAACCAGGTGCCACCCCTGCTAGGTGTGGTCAAGCTCCCAGCCCCCTTCCCACATGCTGAAGTGGGGTCCCCCACAGGGTTTCCTGTTCCCAGGAGGTGAGCGTGGACAGTGTGTGTGGAGAGAGACACCTAGCCCGGATGAGAGCTGGCAGGGGCTCGGCCAAGGGTTGGCCTGGGAGCCTGGTGAGATGGTCCTCTGGAACCCCCCTCCGCCAGGATTCCCAGCACCCCCCAGGCTGTTCTGACACACACCCGCTTCCCCATTCCTCCCCCACACCCCGACTCCCACAGCACTGCCCTGACCTCGCTCGGGCCTTTGTCCCAGCCCCGAGGCCCGTCTGTGGTTCTGTCTCCTGCACAGGGACAGAAAGGGCCCCATTGTCCTGGCTGCCTGCCTTGACACAGCAGCTCCCAAAGATTTCCAAAAATGTCCAGCCCGTCAGCCCCTCGTGGGTGCGAGGACCCAGGCGCCATCGCGCCCAGCTATGCAAGAACTCCTCCACTCCCCAGACTACCAGACTAGAGGGCCTTCCTCAGGCCTGCCTTCTGCGCTGCCCCCCACAGCCTGCTTCTTTCTGAAAAGGAAGGACCGAAAGATCAGCCGCAGAGACCAGCGAGGACTGGGGAGGGAGGAGAGGAACGGGGAAGCAGGATGTGAGGGAGCAGGCTGTCCCGCATCTGCTGAGAAGCTCTAGCCTAGTGTGGTGTGAGTGGGCGGACCTCGGGCCTGTTTATCCCCGACGACGGCCACGGCCGATAGCTTGCTGCAGGACGAACTCTGTCCACTTTGGGTGGCGTATCTACGGGGGCAGCTCACAGCCCCCCAACTCCTCCGTGTTCTATAGACTCCAGCAGCACGCAGGGACTGCCAGTGCCATGGGCAAGCCGCATCACCCTGGGCCTCAGTTTCCCTGCCGAAGCGAGCTCTGACATCATTTCCCGACAAGAGAGGTGAACGGAACAGGGAAGAATCCTGGAGAGACCAAGAGACCCGGAGTTTGGCAGAGGCTGGAGGGGAAGGGAGGGCAGAGAGTAGGTTCTGTAATTCTGAGCTGCAGAGCTGGAGGCCACATGTCTGTTCGTGGTTTGGATCCTCTGGACATCCTGAATCCAAAATTCCAAGGAGCCAGAATGCTGGGGAAAGGGGGTTGTGGCAAGATGGGACCCTGCCCAGTTGCTTCTCTCCTCACTGCACCCCTGCACACACACACGGATCTCTGTCCTAGAAGTAGGGGTGGAAGGGGAAGGAGGGAGGAGACAGGGAAAGCGAATGGGCTTTGTGAGTGGCAAGTGAGGCTGACAGCAAGGGGGGTCTCTCCTGAGTGGGAGGACCCAATAGGGGGCCAGGTGGTATCTCCCCACCCACAGAGTCTCCCGGACACCCTTCCTGGGGCCCCAGGCACCCGCTTGTAAGCAGCTGAGCCCACAGCTGCTGGGGGGGGTTCCTCGACAGAGGCCTCCTGGCACCTGCCCCCGGTTTATTTCTGGAGCTGCAGCTGAGTCATGGGGGTGGGGAGCATGAATGGGTCTAGGGAAGGGGAGTTGGTGACTGTAAAGGAGAAAGCCCGAGGGGGAGGCAGAGGGCGCTGGGTCAGGGCCATCCCTTAGGGACAGAGCACCAAGAAGGGAGATGGATTACATGAGGGTGGGCGACCACATTGGAGCCCCAGGAAAGCAGGGTCTGGCAGCAGGAGGCAGGTCTACTGTCCCAAAATGTGGGAAAAGAGACAGCCAGACCCAAGTATGGAAGGCTGTGTGTTTTTTTTTTAAATAATTATTTTTACTTAACTTTATTTATTTTAATTTGATCAGAGAGGAACAGAGGGAGGGGGTGGGGGAGTGAAAAAGCAAGCCGCCAGGTCTGGGACTCAAACCACAGTCAGCCATGTGGGATCCGGGACTCGAACCATGGTCAGCCATGTGTGAGTCCAGCGTCCTTAATCACCACACCACCTGCTGGCCCTGTGTTTTCTCTTTTTTTAGAGAAATTTTTGCTGTGGGGTGTGTGTCTTCACCGGAGAGACAGAGAGACAGAAAGCAAGAAACCCACCCCCCCAGGGGAGATGGCTTCTCTGCAATCCCCTCTCCTCCATTCTCCTCTTGGGATCGTAGGCACGCACACGTGCCTGGCATAAGTTTTAAGTTGCTGGGTCCGGGACTCGAACCACGGTCGACTATGTGAGAGTCCAGAGAC